TTTGATATTACAGGTGTGAATGATAACAACCATCTCAACAAATTCTAATAAAGCAAATATCTCCGTTTACCAAAACGTCATGTTGCTACCATAAATGCGTTATCAGAAATGTCTTTGTTCCAAACCTGATAGCTCAAAGCAATCAACATGTTCCCCTGTGGCAGTAATTAATCAACTTGCCAACCAGGAAAATGAGAAATGGCTCTAATACGTTTCCTAATTATGACAGTTTGTTTTCCTCAGCCTTCACATTGATTAATTGTTTTGCTCTGACCAACTATCCCATGTGTGGGGGCTACATTGCCTGAGGTAGAAAGAAACAGATAGCAATAACTTACAGAGAGCTATTAGTTTGGACTCCACATAAAAAACAATGAAGTCATATTAAATGTTTCTATATTTTCAAGAACTTTTAATCAAATTTTGATTTTTTACTGTTTATACTGAAATTCCTTGCATCATCTTTCTTTTCTGTGGACCTTATATTTATTCACCATAACTTAATTTTTAAAAAAAAAAAATAAAAACAAATTGATGTCTTGTTTGATTTCCTTCCTGGTGCTTTAGACCCACAAGCTTAATAAAATTTGAATGCATGACATTGCTATCTACCACTGTTATTTCAGTTAAATAAAACCTGCTAGAGAGTTAAACTGCCATTTAAACCACACTACTACAAAATCTACGTCACCATTCAGAGAGAAAAAAAGCAGAAACTAACTCATTCAGTTTCACAGTCCCTTTTATTAAATAAGCATTTCATCTGCATGCATTATACACAGAGGTTAGGACACATTCTTTGCCATTTTAAAATGTTCAGAACAAAACAGAAAGGTTCATTTGATTTTATGACATGACTTTATGACTTGTTTGAAGCAAATGTTGATGGATGAGCTGCCTGCTAAGTAGACCTGATGATCATCACGGATGAACGGATAAAGCGTATTATGCACTTATGAAGTGTAAATAATTTTTTAAAAAAAAGGAAAAAAGAAAGCATACAGCGTTTTGTCCTTTTTGAGGTTGGTCTTGGATTCCTTCATCTCTTTGCCACAATATTGCAAAATTGTCCAAGCATTTCATATGCACCATCTCTTCAACAAACACCCTTATTTGTCAATTGCTATCCCATTGCTCTTCGATTACTAAACACCAGAAGAAAGTCAAATAGGCTCATACAGGCAGAAGTTCTGGAGGACTCTCACCATAGCAGTACTTTGCTTGAGGGTTTCGGTACGTGTTTTCATGTTGAACGCT